AGTATGAACTCATATTTTGACGGTTATGTGAATGCATCAACAAATTTGAATCAGTTCTTTAGATTGTATGAAAAAGCATTGGAAAGTCGCAATGAGAAAGAAGTTAAAGCAGATTATGATACAATGAATACTTCACCAACTTTAAGAACCCCGTCTCCTATGGAGAAACAAGCATCTGAGCTTTACACAAGGAAACTGTTTACGAGATTTCAGGAGGAGTTGGTAGGTACTTTGACTTTTATGGCATCCAAAGCAGAGGATGATGGAGATGTCACTACGTATCAGGTCGCGAAATTTGGGGAGGACCACAGAGATTACTATGTCAGATTTAATGTTTTAGAGATGAAAGCTTTTTGTAGCTGCCGAATGTTTGAGTTTTCTGGCCTTCTTTGTAGACATGTATTGGCAGTCTTTAGGGTGACAAACGTTCTTACTCTTCCATCACATTACATCTTGAAGCGATGGACGAGAAATGCCAAGAGCAGTGTTCTATTAGAAGAACATATTAGTGATGTATTTAGCAGCTACCTGGAGTCACATACTGTTCGATATAACACTTTACGGCATGAAGCCTTAAAATTTGTAGATGACGGAGCAGAATCTGTTGACTTGTACAATGTGGCAATGGCAGCTCTGGCAGAGGCTTCTGAGAAAGTTTCCCTGGAGACAAAAAATGAGGGGAGGATTTCTGCAAATAATGGACGTTTTAGGGATGACTCTAGGAGGAATGGGATCCAGGCAAATCATAAAAACCGGGATCAAAATAAAGGCAGCTTTGCCCAACAACTTTCTGAGGTTAGCCGTTAATTTTTTTTTTTTTTTTTGTTGAATTTTCTTTCTATTGGAATCACTTTTACCTCTTGCTCCAAGCAAGAGGCATCCCATGCTTTTTCAGACCTTGCTGGAATCTCCTTTTTTCTGTTTTCATAATATAATAAAGCGATTTAGATCAGGCTTTTAAAAATTAAAGATATTAATGTAGGTTAGCTGAGTTGAATCCTGCTTTATATCTCTAGTGATGCGTGGTTTTGACCGGGATTTGAAAATTCAAGAGGTTCAGATTGCTGCAAAGTTTGATAAGATGATAGCCTTCTGTTCTTTATGGTATTGTGGTGGTCTTTGTTCATGAATTTTGGTGCAACTTCTACAGTATTTAACTCATCTAACAATTTGTTGCTTGGTTTAACTTACTCTTCCCAAGACAAGGTTCCTTACTTTTCCCTTCTTACTTTTTGATTCTTTAAGAATGTCTATATGTATCATTCCAGATTTTATATCAGCTTCATGATGTACTATCTCAAACTATGTTCTGCGGATATTTTGGTTTACAATTTTCTGCTAGCTGTTATGCTTATGAGATCATGGGTTTTTTTTCTGCATCTTTTTATTCAGCTATTTTGAGGAAATGCTTGTAATTTGGCTATATTAAGGATTCTTATTTCCCAAGTTTCTCTTTATCAGTTCAAGCTGTGAGCTGTAATTTGTATTTATTGATCACTTAACCTTATTTAGTAATTGTATTTATTGATCACTCAACCTTATTTCTGGATATCTTGTTTTGGTATGAGTGTAGATCACTCAACCTTTTTTCTGGATATCCTGTTTTGGTATGAGTGTAGATTGTTTCTTTGGTTTTACTTTATTGTTTTGCATTTTTTCCCTTTTTTACTCGATGCCTGTACTTATACATGATTGGAAATAATCTCCATTTTCTGTGGACTTTTTTTTTTGATTAAATGTTTAAGTTGTCCTCATTGACAGGTTTAAAATCAGCATAAAATTAATTTGCAAAATATTCTTGGGCTTTTGAATACATGGAGAACTACCTTTGAACATTGAATGGTTGGAGATTAAAAATAGAATATTGAAGCTCAATAAAATAGAAAACATATGTTTTGCAGTATTTTCCCCACTTCGTGTCTAGTAGAAGTTGTTATACATTCCAAATTATGCATCCATAGTAAAATGTTGTATTCTGTATTTTGATTAGAAAAATATCTGTGCTTAATAAATTTCTTCACAATATTGTAGGAAGACATGGATACAAAAATTCATGAACTTATGCAAGAGGTGGAATCTGCTAATCGAAGATGTGAAGTTTATCGTGGAAATCTTCTCTCAGTTTTGAAGGATATAGAGGAACATAAGCAGCTACTGTCCATTAAAGTCCAGAATGTCAAACTTAGCATGCGGGATGGTCCTCAAAAGGTGAATTTACACCTTACAGAATGTGATTGCTTGATCTAAATATTTGTGTGTGCAAATTTGTGTTGATGTAGGCTCTTCCAAGGAAGTCCCTCCTATTCTGCTTCAATTCTTCGATTTGCCACGGCTGATATTCTTGGTTTATAGTTGTGCAAATGATTTTTTTTGGGCTGTAGATGTGTAAATATATAAATAGAAGACTTGTTCTAGTTGTTTGAAGTTTCACAATGCACTTTTTTTTTTTTTCATTTCTTTTTCTCCACAGTTTAAGGACTTATTCTAAGGCATAACGCATAATCCTTAAAAGTGGAATTTTTTTTTGGAATGCTGAACGCCCAGTACATTTTCATATCCCCCTTCTTTTCTTAATTTTCTTATGATTTCACAATTTTTTATCTTCTTGTTTCTTCTATAGTTAATTTTCTTTCTTGGGCTAACATGAAGTGGAGATTGTGGAAGTGGGAGTGGTTGAGAATCATGGGTTAAATCGTTTGGGTTGGTTTTAAAATATTTCTGCCTTTGTTGTAAAAATGCTTGAGAGGAAAAAAAAAAATCCAATTTCTACTGTTTTGCTTGTGAAATATCAACAACTGATGATGTTTCTCTGAGTTTCTCAAAGCTTTAGTGGTTGTTTTGGATGAAAATCTTTGATTTTGGAGACAAGAAACTACACCTTTATGCCTGGGTTTTTCTTGGTTGACCTGACTCGGTCCCTTCCTTTCAGGCCATTTTGTCTGAGTCTGTCTGGAAAACTAGGATGCTGAAGGCATAAAGATTGCTTATCGTGATTCATTTGGGTGCTGACCCCATGTATGTTAAGATTTAGGGGCTTTGGATATTCTGATTTAGAGCTTCAGTTCATGTTCTTCTCCTTGTTATGGTTGATTGTCCTGAGATTTACATTCTGTTTGTTTAAATAAACATCTTAACTTAAATTATGCTTGATTGGGAGAAAACTCTCCAATATTGCCCTTGTCGTGGGCGATTTTGTGTGGTTTCTCTGTTTTGATAAGTTTAGGGTCAAAATTGAGATTTACTCGAAAATTTGAGTGGGGTGTATGTTTTTGGGTAAAACCCATCTTTCAAAGTTGGTGACCCTTGGTGGTGCCATTGCCAACAGTGTGGCTGCTGCTAACACCAGTGGCAGCTATGGCTGTTTAGTCTATAACTACCTGCACATATGGTATTTGAACTACCACCTCAAATAAGAGGCCATGGTGTTTCATACTTGCAAGAATCTTCTCTTCTCCTGGTTTGTGCTTGACATTTTCACTCTGACATGTTGACTGGTTATCTTCTCATCTTTGTATTGAAGAACTAGTTTCGAAATTTTGTTTTTATACCTCTTAAGTCTTGAAAACTCATATTATGTTTTTTGGGTGCTCAAAGAAATTTATTATAAAGTTTACAATAATCTTTTGTTTGCTGTGCAGTTTTGGCATATAATTGTTCATTCAGTCCCTGCTTCAGAGGTGTAATGATATCTTAGACACTAATTTCATAGATATGGTTACTTAGCTGACATCTGAACCCTTATATGTGCAGATACTGGAAGCTTTGTCTGTTGCTTCCTGCCAGGACTTTTGATGTGGAAGAGTGAAGCTATTGGGTGGTGCTTATATGAAAGGGTTGTTAGTCAATCTCTGTTTCTCAAGTATCCCCAGAAACATGAAGGTTACTCACTTAGATGTGGCAGCAAATTTTCATCAACAGGGTGATGCTTAAGTATGCATTTTTGGTTTGGGGCTTAATGGCTTAAGCCAAGCATTTAAGCAGATGGGTTTGCTCCATCTATGTTAGCCTCTCCAGGACGCTGCCCTTCCTTGAAAAGGACTCAAAGGAAGGTGAACCATTGTTATTTGATCCCCTAATTTTGCATGACGAGAATAGGGCAGCTAAAACTATCAAAATGATGATGTGCATCAAGATGAAGAGTTGAAGGTGGTGAGCCGGAAAATGATTCAAGGTTATAGAGATTTCTCTAGCAAAATGCTGGCAGCTGTTAGGTGGAAAATTCAGCAGCGAATTGGATTGGCATAGATGCAGATGTTGATCTGAAGTAGAATGAGCATCCTGATAGGTCCAGATTGGTCCAGAGAATGTTGTGAGGTGTATCAACTTTGATTTGCTGGAAACTGCTTTGCGCATCAAATTATCAGTTGGAGAAAGAGATGTCAGCTGCAGGCTTAGGAACCTCCAGTTTAAAGCCACTGGCTTGCAGTTGGCTTTGGCTACTTTAAAAGCCTATGTTGATGGTGTTCTCGTGGGATCAGCTCAGAATCATCGGAAGAAAATGGCACAGATTGGCTGCCCAAAACGCCCTTGTTACGCTAAATGAGAAGGCAGCTGAAGCGAAGAACAACTCTGATGATGGGGAGAAGAAAATTATAAAAAAAAAAAAAAAAGGAATGGCAGCCAATTTGCCTTTTAAAAGGTAATTGTTTTGGAAAGATTGGCCAATCCCTTTTTTCGGACAAGGAAATGAGTTGCCAATCATGTTTTTGTAGTGTGAAGTGAAATTCTTTCCTTTAGTTGTAAATTCAATTTCTTATGGTATTTTAACACTTAGGTCCTATCTTCCATTCCATTATTTGTAAATTTTCTCTTCCTTGTACTTTCTCTCATTAGTCCTTCAAGGAGATATCCTCTTCTGATCCATTATTCGCAAATTTTCTTTTCTTCCTTAAACTTTCTCAAACTAGTTCTTCAAGGAGATATCCTATAACCTTTTGTACAATAATAGATAGAATACCACAGGTACCATAAGTATACTGGTTTGGAATAAACTGGACCAGTTGAGAGTAAAACTGATCAATTTACAGCACTTGCTTTGGCCGCTGTCAACGCTTGCAGTACTTTTAACAGGAGGTGTGACAAGAAGCAGTAGCAGAAAGCAGAAAAACTTCAAAAATACAACCTTGAATTATCAATGTTGGACTAGGATGTAAATACAAACTCATGACCCGAGACTTTCATGGTCTCCAAAACCATATATTAATCAGTAATACACATGCTGAGCGAGAGAGAATGAAGTAAAAGGTCTTGAAAATCTGGCTGAGGGAGTCCTTAAATCCACATGCTGTTTTATTGAGTTCAATGAAATCATATGTGAAACCTGTTGGATATAGAGGATTGCTTGTTCATAATATGAGCCCACAAACTCTGATTCAGTGCTCTGGCTCTAGGTCTTCCACCATATCAAGTTCTCTTTCAGACAAAGGACAACCTTGGTAGGAATTATTGTCCTTGCAATACCACAAAAGCTTATGCCAATAAAAATCCTGCAACAGAAAAGCAACAGATATGATCTATGCAAAACCCAAAAAAGCTTATGCCAATAAAGATCCTGCAACAGAAAAGCAACTGATATGATCTATGTACAACTTACTGGCTTTACAAAGTTGTGTTTACGTCATGCGGTGCAATTTGTTCACATGTCATACAGCTCTACTACTTTGAAACTCAATATGTTGAACATAAGATGTAGTACCTGTTTTGGAAGTTTAGCTGTCCTTTTTCTTGTTTATATGCAGCACTCTATGAAGAAGAAGGCTTTTAGGATGAAATGAAAACATGGCAGGAATACTACACAAACTGAAGATGTGGTTTTATGTGATTAATTTATTTACTTACTCTCTGCCTTAGCTAAGATCAGAAATTTCTCAAAGTCAGGAGAATAGCATGCTAAGGTTGCTTTAGCATATATGTGTCAAGAGTAGTGGTAAATTTTCCTAGAGCTCCACACGTTTTTTCTGATGACAAATTCTACAGAATAAGGATCAAAATAAAACAAACCATGCAGAAATCAAAATAATCTTTTACCAGTTATGTGCTCCGGATTCAATTGGGGGATTGAGGTGATTATACCAACATAATTCAACGAATCGATTTATGTCCTATGCATTTTCCAAAAGCAAAGGTATAAAAAAGAATAGGGCAACTGATACACAAGCCCATGATGTGGTTCATAAGTTGATTAGATATAAGAGTACAAAAATATTCTCTGGCTTTTCTTCTCCCAAGATCTCTATATAGTCCATAAATCTGTATATCTTTGTCAGTCAACAGTCCTGGAGCAGGCACAAAATTCAGACACACAGACACAAACAGAAATGTATGACTTTGTAAGTGAACTAAAGTATCTCCTGCATGGAGGCATTATATATGTAGTTGGACCATAAGTGCTAATACCATGTTTCTTTTTGGCTTTGAGATTTTAACAGCTGGTAAAACTCACATGAAGCTGCGTTAGACACAATTGTTGGATATCCGTTTTTTGAGGTTCGTAAAGTTGGAGAACTGCAAATTATATCTATTTCCTCTTCTTGAAATCTCTAAGCAAGAAATTAGAATTCCAACTAAATTCTAGCTGATCACAAGACTGACATAGAAACAAGTACATCACATCCAGGTTATCTGATAGTGGTGCTCTGTTGTTTCTTAAGGCATTTTTCGCCAGACGGTATCAGCAGAAGGGAACCCTAAATGTATGCAGAAAAGGACAGACCAGACACTCGGCATGATTTCCTTGGCTTTGATGACCAGAGACTAGTCAAATGTTTGATTTTTAACACATCTGACACCATCAATGTTATGCACATTATCCAAAGGCATGAGAGTATAACAAAAACTGTAAGAACTAGTAGAAGTACAGATGAAGCAATTGAAAAAAGAATGAGGAAGTCTAATCTAGCATTAGTACCTTACTGATAATGTGTGGATTGCCCACTATGACAAGCAATGATTTTGCACGTGTAAGTGCAACATTAAACCTTCTAGGATTACTAAGGAATCCAAGGCTGAACGTTTTATCATGCTCGTTGTGTCTGCTAGTTGACCGGACTGTAGAGATAATTATAACTTCTTTCTCTTGTCCCTGAAACTGCTCAACACTCCCAACTTTAATGCCAAATATATCTTCTGATTCAAGTACATTGATAATCTTAACCACTTGTTGACGGTAAGGTGTTATTACACCAATGTCTCCTTCTCTTAGATCTGGCAAGGCTCTCAGCTTTATGATCAAGTTAACCACCTTGCTTGCCTCAATCCTGTTAAACCATGAGGGGTTGTACCCTTCTCTCTCATCACATCCCTGAATGCCAACAAAGAGAATAGGAAACTCTCCACGAGGAAGAATACCTAGCCAAGACTTTGCTGAAGAAGTATCTTCTTTGCATGCAAGCAACTCCCCTTCATAGAATAGTTTTGAGGGGAGTTGAAGAATTGCAGGATGACATCTATAATTACTAACTAATTTCGTGATGAAATTTGGATCCCCATGTGAATAGCAGTTACATTCAAAAAGTCTTTCTAAGTAAGATTTTCCCAAGCCATAAGTCATTGCATTTCTGGAAAATACAACAGGGCCTAATTGCTTGGGGTCTCCTGCAAGAACAACAGTAGTTTCCCTTTGACAAAGGTTGGACATAGGTACCATGGTTTCTGGTTCTGAAACTTGACCGGCTTCATCTAAGAATATATGGGAGAAGTGACCACAACTTATACCTTCTGCATAAAGGAGAGATGAACTCATATAAGTAGAGATGATGATCCTGTAACACATTAAGGCCTCCAAAGGAGGACATTTGAAAATAGAGTCCTCAAAATAGCAAAACCGAATGCAATCTGGCCGAACATCTTCGTATTGACGGCTGGTGGCATTGAGCCTGAAGATCTCTTTATCTTTTACTTCAACAATTCCATTGAGAACAAGTTTCTCTAAAATGTAGTCGGCTGCACTGTTTGAAGCAGCACAAACAAGAATGCGGGTATTCTTTCTTGTTGTATAAAGTTGTAGGATTGCTTCTACCAAAGTCACTGTTTTGCCAGTACCTGGAGGTCCATGGATGACATAAGGAGGTGCCCCTTCAGAACTAAGGATCTTCTCAACAGCTTGCAGCTGCTGCTGATTGAGACTTGTAAAAGGCGTGACTGGCATCCCATTACTTGACTGTTCTTTAAGTTGGGAGGGGAACAGGAAATCTATGTCCAGGTATTGTGCAGATTCAACTGCTTGATGTAATCTCTGCAGGTTTATCCTATTGAAAGTAAACCAAATATTATAAAAACTCCCTGGGTGATTTTGCATGTGAAAGTCCTTGCCAAACTTCAAAAGAACTTCATCAGCCTCAATCCGGTAGATGGAACCCTGAAAGTATACATAATTCATATTTTGATCTAATTTCTTATCTAATGCTTTAAAGAGAAGAATACGATCTTGCATATGGTGCTTACCTAATTTTGATACTCCCTATGAATTGTAGCTGAAGGCACAAGACATAAATGAAGGCATAAAAAGAAGGATGACAGATACCAAGCAAACTGGATAATTTACTAATAAATATAGTAGCCCACCAAGAAGATTAATGAAACATTTTCATGTTATCAAATTCATCATAGGATTTCAGAATTAGAACCTTTGCTTTTTATTTAGAGTTTCTCCTTTGAATAAAAGCTCAAGAATATTTCTTTGCATAAATAGGAAAATTTATCTAGCCCTGGTCTTCTAATGTAATCAAAGAAACTCTGCAACAGCTATTAAGAGATGAATTATGACAAGGGAGATCAGTGCTTTGAGAGCTAGTTTCTGGAAAAATATCATCCAAAGCACGAACTTTTTCAAGAAGCAAGGTTCAGGAGCTTATGAGGCTAGGATCATATTTAACTACATGAACCCAAATATAATCACTATACTATGCCAACCAAATACTGACTTTGGCAAAAACAGCGGTATGGTTCTAGAAACGTATCATCTGTTACACCAAATGGTGATGTATATCCAACTAAAGTTGTCATGATGTCTTCATGAGACTAGATAAAATAACTTAGAAGAACTTGATACGAGATGTAATTTAAACTCAACCAGGACAGAGCAACCTGAAGTTTGGGAATCCAAAATTTTGAAGTGCTTGCTACTTCTGAAGTGGTAGAGTTCAGAACTTTAGCCCCTACATATTTTCATGTTTGCAAAAAGAAATTAACCTGATACTGGAAATTAAGACCATTTCTCTGCTGGTAGGCTGGCCCAACAAATACAAAGTCACCATGTACAAGTGAAGGCCTTCTCTCTGCCAGCCCAGGGACCTCAATAGCCATTAAGTTACCCTTCCTTCGTCTCAGTTCCACAGTCCGCATGTCGTAATTCCTCATTTCTTTCTGTTTGCAAAATATTTATAACTTTATACCAACAGAAAGGAGACGAGAGAGCCATAATGTTTATAACTGAATGAAAGTTACCTCCAAATGTAGCTCTTCCATGTATAGTAAGGTGCCGAAATAAGAAGCATAATTCTCCTTCGTTAAGTTTTCTAATATAACTGCAGGGATTTGCTTATCTTCTAATAACTTCCTAGTTCCTTCTGGCATTTCAAACTGACGAAGCTTATATTTCCACCCTCTGCTGGATCTCTTTGCAGGATATCTAGCAAATGTTTCAGAAGTAGATTGTCTATTTCTTTGATATTTTGCATATGACTTCCTTGAAGCCAGAGACTGGGAAACCTTGTCCTCAGCCAAGAGAAATATCACACGCTCTATCCTTTCATCCCCTACATCAAAATGCACTATACTTGTGTGCAATCCAATGTCTTTAGGTTTGCAAGATAACCAAATGGTGAGCGTTTTTTCTGGCTGAAGGGTTCTATCTTCAAGAGAAAATCCCTCCAGAAACCTTTTAATGTATTCATCATCAGAATCCATTGAAGGTGGTTTCAGCAGTGATATAGTGAACGAGTCTGCAGGGTTTGAACCAAAAATTTTCACTCCCCAAAGTGGCACAGGCTCTCTAGTTGTATTAGTTATAGTGACTGCATCATAAGAAGTCTCCCCAACAAAAGCAGACCGAGGCTTCCCTCGGGTAAAGGGAAAAGGAGTTGAGATTATCACTGGATCCTCTTCATTTTGGTCATCAGAGCAAACAGGACCATCAAGCTCAAAATCGATAAAGCTGATCTCACCTTTGTCTCCAATAACAGAGCATTCATCATTCCTGTTCACCTTTTGAACTCTACTCATGCTTATGTTGTTTCCAGTAACAGTGTAGTGCTGCTAGTGCAACCAAAAGAAATTGCAAAAACTTGGTCATATGATCAAGTAATAGCAAGAGGCAAATTGAGTTTGAACATGTTATTGTTGTTATTACAGAGTATACAGAAAATTTGCTATCGCACTGGGTGTTAACTTTGAATTTCTCATGAGAACATGGTACTTCAAGAGGAAAGAATTAAGAATATGCCCACCAAATAGTTTAAAGCAGGCCTTGTCATCTGCTAGATTCCAACCCTATTTTAATGTCAGAAAGATTCGAGAATATGCAAAATATTATTAAAAAAAAAAAAAACCAGAAAGAGTGGAACTGAATCATTAAGACAAGTAAAATTTTTACTCTCATGTTGTAAAGAACCAAAAAAAAATCATATCTGCGTTTGTGACCATATACTTATGAGTTATGACAGCATATACACAAGTAAATGGAATATAGTAGTACATGTAATCAAGTGGAAAAGGAGAAGATGTGCAAGCAATTAAGGAAACATCAGAAGACATGCATTCCAACTATTGACAGCAAAATCAAGTAAGAAGGAATTCAAGAAACATGGCTACAATTTAAACCCTCAAGGCTGTCAATTAGGAAAATCATGAATTAAGATTTTTTGAGCAGCATTGCCATTCAAGTATTATCCGTCTCTCGTTCAAAAGTTGCTTCAAATTCTCTATCTTTTTGCTCCGTACTTAATAATCTTCACCCTTTTTTAAGTAGTAACAATGATCAGACCATTTCATGCCACACTCATTCATCAAATGCATGCATGCATAAACAAATATGAAAAACCATCTGCAAATGCAATTCAAATTCACAGAACCAAAATTGAAACATCAATGATGCAAATCTTTAATTCTTACAATCTGCAGAAAAATGCCAGGGAAGCCTTCCTTATTGCCTCAATGCCTTGGTTAAACTTCAGCGATCAAGAAAAGAATCAAGAAAGTAAAGACTAAAGAGAACCCACTACCAGGGTGGACCCAAGGGAAGACTAGAAGTCAATAGCAACAGGAAATAATGCAAACCTTTTCCTTTTCTTTTCCTATTTTCTTTTCCTTTAACTTGCAATCAATACCAAGACACAGTTGGGTACTTCAAAATAGTGCATTGTACATGAAAATTTAAACATGAACAAATACAATTCATTTTGTTTCTCTCTTTTTGTTTCTTATTTTTTGGGTTTGGCTGAAAAATTGTTTAGTTACAAATTTCGTGCTGTAAATTTAGCACTTTCGTCAATGCCATACATGTGGAAGTTTGTCAATGCATGTTGGTGGACATTGGTGAATTATTTTTGGTAAGGTTTTTGATGGAACTGCCAACCAATTAATCTTTGTAGACTGAAATGTTCTAAAAGTTTTTAGCTGAAACTGATTTCAACAACATTTCAGAGTAAATAAGACCTCTTTTTCCTGGATAAAGTTACAGAATTTCTAAAACTATCAATAGAACTCTTGTTTTAGGTTGAGCTGCATTATATGCACTCCATTAGAAAAAAAAAAGGGATTAATGTTCTGTACACAGATAATAATATATTGTATACTTTTACCACTGAATGTATGACACATAATTTGAATTTGAATTTGCAATCTAAATTTTGCATATATGTAGTGCATCCAATCACGATAGTGCATACAATGTCAGTGCATATAAGATTGACTCAAAAAAAAAATGAAAATGTGTATACATAATTTGTGTGTGTGTGTACCTTTATATGCATGAATATGGGAAATTTGACAAAAATGTTTTCTAATTATACTAGTTTGAAGACAATATATCATCATATTATTCAGGATCCTTAAATTAAGTAGAAATATCTACGTCCACACAATTTTTCAAAGAGAAAATAGCCAACACATGGAAAGGCATTTTTACCATACATTTTGAAAACAATAATTTTGAGTGTTGGAGTAAGGAACATGAAATAGATCACTTCTTTATTTTGTTTTTACTTTTTTGGAACAGAAAATGACTTCTTGTTGATATGGATTCTTGTCAAAATAACCTTATCCTATTACTTTAGAAGAATCTAAAGCTAGTGTATTCTGTTTTAATCTAAACTAATAAAAATTGAGTAAATAGCTGTTTTATTATGACATCAAGTGTCCTGTTCTAATAAATGATCCTTCTTTGAATTTTTGATAGCAAGATCACATTACAATGCTTAACTGAGATTTTTTTGCTCAATAAACACACAGCTAAATGAACTTGTTCATAAAACACAAACATATTTACGGATTGTAATGCTAAACAATGGAATAGTAGATTGGGACATTTTTTTGCGACAGATTAGGAGCATTGGACTTAGCAAGTGAAAGATATAGAGAATAAAGAGTGAGATCATTAATTTTAGTCGATCAACGCACAGCATAGTCACATAGTCGTGACCGTTTAGTTCATCATTTTTTTTTTTTTTCATTTTACAGTTACACAGGAAGTTAAAAAGACTAGGTATAGAAGGTCAATTTTGTTATTGAGGAAAATTTGCCAAATCGGTTCCTCACACTATCAGAAAAAAGAAACTTTTTTAGTCTCTCGCGTTCAAAATCGTTCACTATAGTCCCTCAGATGTAAAAAGTCCATCCAATTGGTTCCGAAGTTCATTTTGCCCACTTCTCTGCCCAAAAAACCCACGCCTCTCTCATGTGTCTATAATTTCAAGGACAAAAAATTAAAACACACTTCGTTTCCTTTTAAGGAACACATCATCCATCAAAACCCTAAATATAAACCTTTTAAGAAACACATTGGCCGATTGATAGTTTTTAACAAGTCAAATATTATTGATAGCAATTTACTGCACAATAGAGGATCATACCACTTGAACTAACGACAAGCACGATTCACCTAAAATGCAAGAATATCACATATTAAGAACCAATTTTCACCCCATATCAAGAACAAGTTTTTTTCAAGACAATCAAAATGAAATATGCTCAAACTTGCTCCATAATTTGGGCAGCTATAGAATCTCCCTCCCACATTTGCAGGTTTCCAAGAAGTCACAATCATGGATTCTTTGTCACATAGCATTAAAAATTGTTTGCTTCCATTGTACTCTTCAATGAGTGAATTCCTTTTATATCTTTTCTTGCTCTTTTCTACTACTTGCACGTGACCCTACTGAAAATTTCTTCTTTGATTAGAGGCTTGGTGGCTTACAATTAGGATTTTGGTAGCTGAAAAAATAGGGGAAAGGGGGAAGAAAGGGTTTGGCGACTTACATTTTCTTCTTTTTTTTTTAAAAAAAAGGGTTTGGTGGTTTACATTTCTTCTTTTTTTTTTTAAAAAAAAAAAGAGGAAATAAAGTGTATTTTCATTTGCCCTTGAAATTATGGGTGGAAGAGAGAGGTGTGCACTTTTTGGCTGAAAAAGTAAGCGAAAATGAGTTTTGAAATCAATCAGGTGGACATTTTTTTATATCTGAGGGACAAATTGTGACTGATTTTAAATTAATGTGAAGGATTAAAAAAGTTTTTTTCTCAAAATGCGAGGACCAATTTGGCAAATTTTCCTTTTATAAAAGTCATTTAAACCATTTTGATTCATGAAAAGATAGTAATGGAGTTTCCAAAGCTAATTACGGAGTACCAAAATTGTTGGTTTAGACCAAATAGAAGAACAAAGCAAACATCGTGACAATGATACAATACATTGCCATTGCGGTACAATTACCAACAAGTGAAATGGGAATGACCAAAATCTATTATCATTGAGGACTTTTTTGATACCCATTTTCATTGCCATTTCAGAGTGTTTACCAAACAGGTGGCTGAGTAGAGCTGTGATTGTGTAGCCAACTAATCATTGGAAGATCAAAACTAGATTTTAAACCAAAAACCACTTTCTTGAGGTTTAATCTTTCAAAAAACAGAAAAAACTAACATTAAAATTCTCGGAATTTTGGTATGGACAAGGGGACACCAAGAGGTTTTGTCAACAATTTCGTAGAAGCGAATGAATTCAAGTGGACACAGGCCCTGTCTCTAAATATATGCATTGAATCAAACTAATGAAGTCCTTTGGCTTCTCTGAAAAATTCTGAAGGAATAAAAATCATATATTCTCCCCTCTAAGAACGTATGTAGAAGCAAAATTTCAGCCTCTAGCAAGAGCTTAAATCTTACAAGAATGTCATCAATGTTTCATGGAACCTTGGATAAGCCATCACAGAAAAATAAGACTTTAGAATCCATTTCAGTAATTACTTTATCGAAATGCCGAAATAAATAAAGAAAGAAAAAATTTGATGGGGTTTCTTACCTTTAATTTTTTTTTTTCTAAAGGTTTAGTTGATGGGATTTCTGACCATTTTTCATTAACTATTCGAAAGTTTTCTTGAACTCGATCAAAGTTGTTTAGTGTATAATTGAGGGGGGGAAAAAACTAAGGTGAAACGCTGTATTACTTGTTCTTTGACTATACAATTTTTAAGTGAAAAAAAAAAAAGAAAAGAAAGAAAGAAGAGTAACGAAGCCAGGAACACCTTAATATGAGAAGTTCGTACTTTAAATAATACATAATCCTAAATTAAAATTATGATTTTAGTGTATTCTCAAGCTTAGTTTGCCAAAATTGTAGATATCAACTTGGAGTCATGTTATATTAAGGCAAGCAAACAACTTAGACAAGAAATTAAGAAAATGGTTACAACCTCCAAACATCTTTTACTAGTATCATTCTGATATTAGTATTATTGCAGTATAATCTATAGCTTCTCAGGCCATTACATCATGTTATAAGGAGATTATAGTTTACAGGACGTACTTTCTTAAGCATGAATATTCGTATGAATAATATGCAATACATATTAGACAACGTTCACCCACATCCCAGTACTAGGTATATCTTCATGCACCACGAAGAGCATATAGTATCCTTTTGGTGCGATCTCAGGTGAGGATGGTCCAATTGCAGTAATCCTATAAGTACTCGAGGCAACATTAACGGCCTCAACAAACTTCAAAATCACCATTCTTTGGTTCATTGAGAAAGAATGCGTAGTAAAAGATGGTGCAATGATTCTCACTGATAAACTTGCCACTTTCAGAAAATTGTTGACTGAGAAAGTCACTGAAAACTTCCGCTGGTATGTTATATTTTCAGCCATTCCAACAATCCTCGGTCTCACCGGATCATGCAGCTGTGCTAAGTAAGGTGGAGAAAAGGCTTCCAAGCTCAGGTCAGTTGGAAATTGTACACCAGTAAATTTGTAGTATACATGTGGATTGCTTCCTCCAACTAGCACTCTTCCGTCAATGAGTAGTGTGGCAGAAGAATGGTACATTCTTGGCCTTTGTGCAGTTTCCATAACTGAGAACCGATTATGTTGCATTGCGCGGGGCTTGTAGATCACTGCCCTTGTGACAGGATTTCTTGCATTTTCCCAACCTGCAGTTCCTGAACTTGCACCATTGATTATGATGACATCTCCAGTAGGAAGAAGTAGCATGTCACCCATTACTCGTGCCATGGGCATTGTCTCCATTTCCCAGGCAGGATTTTGGTCAGTGACTTTTAGGCGACCACATGTGGAGCTTGCACGGATGAAATATCCCTGCCTTGCACTCGTGAACGCCCCGTGAGGTGCACCGCCGCAGACCATGATCTCTGCCTCTATTGGACCATTTTCGTTGATAGGAAGCAGCACTGATGAGCCTGAACTAGGATAGTTCCTGGAAGCATCACCAGGAATCTGAGGAAACTCCCTGACAACCTTGCTTTGACGGTAGTCAAACAAAATGGACCTTGTGTTTGCAAAAATGAACAAGTTTCCGTCTGGTAAGAGATGGAGAAATGGATACAAGTTATTCTCACCTTCATCCTTGGTTTCTTTAAGAAACTCCAGATCA